TAAATTTAAAAAAAGAAAAGATAAACCCTCTTAAAACTATAAAAAAAAAGTTACAGCCTCAGACACTCAATAGAAGGTAACTGAATCACAATTGACTAGATGAGCTTTTTACAGTTACAGCTTTTTACAGTTACATCTGTATACAATTAAAAGAAAGAAATTTCTTGCATTAGGGAAAGAACTTTATAACTGGGCAAAATAAATTTATGTCCCTCAATTTAAAGTTTATTCTCAGACTTAGTTATTTAATTAAATATATCCTTAATAGGGTTAAGAAAAGCCTAACTTGGTTTGAGAAGTGTTGAAATTCAAGTTCTGAAGAGATGTACAACCTATAAAGATAGACTGGCAGATTTATTTTTGGTTAAATGTTACAAATTGTATAGGTTTTTTTTATCCAATAATTCATACATATTTTGTTTTAAAACATTAGTTACAATTGTGAGACTAACTCAGGCTCATAAAGACAAATATTGCATAGGACCATTATTGTAAAAATAAAAATACAATTAGTAAAATGTGTAGGAGTGTCCAAGGGGGAAAGGAGTGAGAGCTAGGGGTGAGGATGAGCAGGGGGGAAATCACAAGGTCACCCAATCTGACGGCTGGATGGAGGGGGCAAAGGAAATGGAAAAGATCCAATGGAGATCTGAAGAGATAGGATAATGGTGGACATATTTCAATGAGGATTAATTTTATAAAATAAATTCATGGGAATAATTGCATGAAACACAATGTAAATAAATTTTGTATGCAAAACAAGATAAAAAATTTAAAAAAAGAAAGTTTTCTTTAAAAAAAAACCAAAACAAAACATTAAGTACAGTTGATTAGGCTTGATAATAGAAAATTGGACTGCCAACCCAAAATATGCAGTTCAAATCCATTGAGCTTCTCTGTGGGAGAAAGATGGGAAATCTCCTCTCATCTGATTTACTGCCTCTGAATACTGACTGGAGGATCAGCTATGAGTTGGTTCCTTCTCAACAATGACAACACCAATGACAATGACAATGTTATTGATTAGCTAATTAATTACATTTTTTATCAACCCTTATTATATATTTTCTTTTCCCTCATCCAACTTATCTATTAATGTTATTCCTTTAAACCCTCTCTTCCTATCTCTTAACTATGCAAGAATGATTCAGTGTGTAAACTTTTCCTTTTTATAATAGTGCCCTTGTTCTGTTTTATGTCATTCAGCAGAATGTTTTCGAGATTCACCCATGTTACATAGTGTTTCACATATTCTCTATCACTCTTTATTGTTGTGTGAATGGAGACAGTCAGTTGTGTGAATGGAGATGATCTAGTTTCTTTAGCCATTCATATGTTGATATGCAGTTGGGTTATTTCCATCTGTGCTACTGAAAATAATACTGAAGTAATCACTGGTGTACATATATTAGTTCATGTCTTAGCTCATACTTCTTTAGGACATAAACCTAGAAGTGTAAGATTTCTAGATCAAATGATATTTTTATTGCCTCCTTATATGGAACTGTAAATTGCTTTCGTAATGTTTGAACTATGTTATCTTCCCATCAACAATAAATGAGAATTCCAAGCTCTTCACACCTTCACAAATTTTATCGTTTGCTTTCATATTGAACTTAGCTGTTATTTCCAGCATGAGATGATATTTCATTGTTGTCAGAAATGAAAATGTGACATAGGATAGGACAGGGTTCAAATATGTTGTTCATTCGGTCACTATGAGTTATACTCAATAGCACCAAACAACAACATTAGTGACTAATGATCTTAACTATTCCTCCTGACATTTGTTGGACATCTGAATGTCTTCACTCGTGAAGAGTCTTTTAATGTCCTCTGCCCAGTTTACATTTGTGTTGTCTTTTTCTTCTTGTTGTTTTGTGCCATTGAGTCACCTGTGACTCATAGCAACCCTATATACAGAAGCTCTGAAGCCTACCTTATCCTATGCCAGTCTCGCTGATTCCGACACACCAACCCCCATTGTCCTGATTATTGGATCGATTCCTCTCATCCAAGGTCTTCCTTTCCACATTGTCCCTCTACCTTCTGAGCATGAAGTTCTTCTCCAAGGACCAATGCCCTCTAGTCTTGTACTTATATGTGACACGGAGCTTCAAAATCCTAGCCTCTGAGAAGCCAAGTTCCTCCTTTTCTATTTCTTTTCTTGTTGAGGTATTAAAATTTTCCACAAGTTGTAGAGATGAGTTCCTTGTCAGATATGTCACTTCCAAATATTTTCCTAATCTGTAGGTTCTCTTTTACTTTTTGGAGACATCTTTTGATGTGATTTTTTAAATTTTTTTAGACTTCAATCATCTAGCATATCTTTGCAGAGTGAACACTTCCAATTACATTTGACAGTGTATTTAAGTCACAGATTAGTATTCCTATGTTAGATGAGAAAAAAATTTCAGAGAGTTGACTTATGCAGTTACAGTGAGTCAGCATGTATAATATCTGTAGGGCAGGTGGAAGACTGGTGATTACTGCAGCTTTGAATTTAAAACTTTGTGGCTAGGTGACAAGAAGGGTGAAGTTTTTTCCAAAATACCAATTTATAGTTTGGAGGGAGAATATATATTAAGTGATCACCATTTAACTTTTAAGACCTTCAACTGATTGAAGTCCACACATATTAAGGAAGATAATTTGCTTTCCTTAAGGTCAACTGATTTAATCATAACAGGTAATAGATTACTATTTGACCAAAAAGTGGATGTTACTGCTTGGTCAAGTTGATGCATACAATTAACTATCACAGGAAGGTTAGAAATACATAATTTTGATAGGAATTTCTTTTATTCTTCTTTTGATTACTCAGTGCTTTGTATTGAAAATAAAAATAAAGAATTAATAAAGGTATGAATTTATGTCTGAATTCTATACATGAAGTCTATAATGTATATATTATATGCCTCAATTAAATAGACTGCCCACACCTCTCAAATTTATATATTGTTGGGTAGAATATATAACCTCTATGGAGAATTTCCTTTAAGAGGACACTTGAATTCCATCAATTCATTTGTAATTTCATCCCATCCCTTCTTATGATCCTCAATGAATCCCTGAGCAGTTGTGCTATAGTGATGACTTTTCAAGAATAACTCATTTACAGGATAGGGTTCTGAGTTAATAAATATTTTAAAGTGGTTTCCTCAGATATCATCAGTTTGCTCTGGAAAATAAAAATATCTTGAGATATTCTTGCTCATTTTTCTCCCCTTGGCATTATGAAAACAAAAGAAAAAGCAATAGTCTTCTGAGTCAGCCGTCAACAATTCATTCATTAATATCAAGTCAGAACCAACTAATAGATCTTGCTCTTCTGGATTATCCGACTGTAGATCACATGAGAGGATACTGTGCACTTTTCTCTCACAGCACAGTTGGTGGATTTGAACCACCTGCCTTTGTGTTGACAGCATAACTCCTTAAATACTAGGCCACCTTGTCAGAGTTAAAATGCACTAAACTATTTCTAATTGTGTACTTAATAATACTCATGAAATTTTAATTATCAATTTTACAAATAAATTATTCACACTAGGACCTAAGTAATAGAAATGCTTGTAGTATTAATTTGAATTCTCTAATAATAAGTCCTCCCTCATCCCACCTCACATTTCTTTGATAATTGTTACAAAGAACTGATTTGTCAATATTCACAAAATTGTATTAGCAACATAAGAGTGTAACCTGTTTTAATGAAGAATGTAGAGAAATATTTCCATAAACTTTCACTGTTGACATTTAATCTCAATGAAGATTGTCCTTGATATGTACAAAGTAATCAAGATAAAGTTCATCCATTCTTCTTTCAAGGAATATTCATTGTCTCTAGAGTTGGGAAATTGGTCATTAGGTGTGGTGGGTACAAGATGGGGACCCTTTATGAAATTCTATATATTTTTCACAGAATTCATATTATTCAACAGAATCTATAAATTACAGAATTTGTGTTATTTAACTTGTGAGCTTCTTAAGGGCAAGTGCAGAAAATAAAGGGTCAGCAAATAATTAACACTTAAAATATTTGTTAAATAAATTATTGCTTTGTCAACCTTGTAAAGTTTATAACATTGTTTTTATTTGCATTTGAGGAGAGAAACTAAGACTGGTGAACAGACTTTCTCAAGATTACACAGCAGAGACTACATGAGAACTGATTTATAAGATTTTAAAACATCCACAGATAGCTCTCCTATGCTGTAACTTTTTTGTCTTAATCTAGATAGTCTTATTTTCTATTTTCAGGTATTTTCTTATACTGCCGACAAAGAAATCCGAACCGATGATTTATGCTTGGATGTTTCTAGACTCAATGGACCTGTAATCATGTTAAAATGCCACCATATGAGAGGAAATCAATTATGGGAATATGATGCTGAGGTATAGTCTTTCCCTTTATTTGCCTATTATTTAATGCTTAAGTTGAGTTATATATTTCAAGTATATGTAAATTCTTTTTGACATTGGCAAAAATGGGTTTTCAAACATACCTACTCATATTTGATAATAATAGAATGCCTTCTGTTTTCACAAACTGGCTCATTAAAATATATTATGAATTGGGGAAATAAAGCCATGTGCTAAAGATTTACAATTGACCTGCTCAATTAAGCTATAAAAAGCAAGCTAAGCTTCTCTGAGAGATATGTATGAAAATATTGGTAATGGATAATAGTGAAAATATGTTCTATACTCAAGTGTTACATTTTATACCAATGCGATCTGACAAGACAAGAGCAAGGACGAATGACATGAAATCTCTTTATAGTATTGAATTGTTGGCATACTTTAACAAATTATTTACACTGGAATCAGCTGAGAAGCTGATAAAGCATACCTTTCTATTTGAGGGGGAGAGGAAAATAACAAAATCATCGTTGACATTTTATAGCTAGAAAATGTGTAAAAACCACATCAACCATCAGATGGAGCTAATAAAAAAGAAATATTTTTCTCTCCATAAGGAAGCACCTTGAAACAGCTTCATTTCTCTGATTTCTTTGCTTAGTGAAATGAATTGGTCATCTTTGCTACAATTTCCACATTATTTTTAAATGGTTGGGGAGTTATTTAAAAGAGGAAATAATTTTTCACTCCAAGAGAAATAATACACAGTTGGATTTGGGTATTTTTCATAGTTTCACTAGATCGTCATTAAAAACATTTTGGATGTTGTTTTGTTTACACGATAATATAGATAAATAGAATATTAGGAAATCTCACTGAAATACTAGAGATTTTTGAAATTATTTATGTAGGTTAAATTTGAGAACTGATATTTATATGGTGTCAGGCACTTTATATGGTGCCAGACTCGGAATTTTTTCTGGTGCACAATTAACAATCAAAACTTATAGTGACTCTATAAGAAGGGTTGAAAATCTTTATGGAGGCTGCTGTCAAATCTTTCTGTCAAAGAGCAGCTGGTTGTGTCAAACTCTTTTAATTAGTGAAGTGTTTTAACTACTGCAGCACCAAGGCTGCTGCTTAACTAAGGACAGGTACCATGACACCTCATTTCATCTATTACATTCTGCCATTCTCATTGTCTTAGTCTTCTTCTATGTTGAACTATTATTTTTCCCCTGTTTAAAATACATCATAATGACACTTTGCAATAAACCTGAAGAAAAGATTTCCTCTAAATATGTAAGGAAGGGTAAACCAGCCATTTGCCTCTTTCATAGATAAAGTATAAGTGAAGTAGAAATTCCTTCATATAATATTGTTATTGTTGTTGATTGCCTTCCAGTCGAGCATGAATCATACAGACCCTATAAACAAAAGGCCTGAAGCCCCATCTACAACTATCAATGTTTATCAAAGTTCATAGAATTTCCAGAAGCATGTTATTTAGGAAGTGGATGCCATCCTACTTCCAAAATATTAATCAAATAAAAATTTTTGTTATTAATGTTTGTCATAGTTTTCTAGAACTGCTATAATAGAGATACCAGAAATGCTTATTGCTAACAAAATAAAATTTATTCTCTAATAATTAAAGAGGCTGGAGTCTGAATTCAGAGCTCTGTCTCTAGAGGAAGAATTTCTCTCTCTCTCTTTTCAGCATGTATGAACCTGGGGTCCTTTCTGTATGTGTCTACGTGTCACATTCCCCAGATCGGAGAGGTTCTCAGCACAAGAACCTTGGGTCCAAAGAATATGCTCTGCTTCCTATTCCTCTGTCCTAGTTGTATTGAGATTTCTCCTTCTCTGCCTTCTTGTTTAATTTCTTTAATTTCTCAATAAAGAGTAACTCAAGATACAGTCTACCCTTGTAGATCTGCCTCTTTGTCATAATTACCTCTAGTTCTGCCTCATTAATGCCATATTGTTGTTGTTGTTGTCATCAGATGGCCTCAAGTTGAATATGACCCATAGCAAACCTATGAACAACAGATCTGAACCTTGTCCTATTCTGTGCCTTCCTTACACTTCTTGACTCACTGGAACCCATTGCAGCAGTAACCATGTCAATCCATCTGGTTGAGGGTCTTTTTCATCTTTGTCAACCCTCTTCATTTCCAAGCATTCCTCTCTAAGGAATAGCCCCACATAGCAATGTGTCCACAGTATGTGAGGCAAGTCTTTATCATCTTTACTTTAAAGATCACTATGGTTGCACTCTCTCCAAGACATATCTGTCTGTTCTCTTGACAGTCTATGGGATGTTCAGAACTCTTCTCCAACTACTGCTCAAAGGCATTAATTATTCTTCTGTCATCCTTTTTTATTATCCAACTCTCAGAGGCAGAGCAAGTGATCCGAAAGATCATGTCTTAAATCAAATGCACTTTAGGTCTTAAACTGACATCTTCACTCTTCAGTAATTTTGAGAGGTTTCTAACTGCAGATTTTCCCAGTGCAATCCATCTCCTGATTTCCTGACTGCTGGTACTGAGGGTGTTGATTGTGGATCCAAGTAAGATGAAGTTTTTGATGGTTTCAATCTTTTCTCCATCTGTCATAATGTTGCCTATCAGTCAAATGGGACAAATTTTTGTTTTCTTGATGTAAAATCCATATTGAAGGCTGCATTCTTTGATTTTCTGCAAAAAGTGCTTCAGGTTTTCCTCACTTTCAGCAAGCAAGGTTGTGTCAGCTGCATAATGAAGGCTATTGATGAGTCTTCCTCTGATCTTGGTGCTATATTCTTCCTTCACAGAGTCAAGCTTTTTCAAATACTTTGCTCAACATATAGATTGAATAGATGTGGAGAAACTTACAACCCTGACATGCTCCATTCATAGTTTTAAGCCATTAAGTCTTTTTAAGCCATTTTAAGAACTTGCTCTGTTCGCACAACAGCCTCTTGGTCTAAGTATAGGTTTCACATGAGCAAAATTAAGTACTCTTAGATTCCCATTCTTCCCAATGTTAGACTTGTTATTAACTTGTTATTATCCACACTGTCAAATGTCTTTTCATAGTCAATAAAGCATAAACATAGACATTCTCTAGTATTCTTTACTATCAGCCAGGATCTACCTGACATCAGCCATGACTGGTTCCATGGTGCAGCAGCCTCTTAAATCCTGCTCGAACTTCTGCAAGTTTCCTATTCTAGCCTTTTATTTTAATAATCTTCATCAATATTTTGTTTGCATGTGATATTAATGATATTATTTAATAGTTTCCATAGTCTGTAGGATCCTCTATCTTGGGAATGAGAACAAATACGGAGTTCTTCCTATCAGTAGGCCAGATAGCTGTCCTCCAAATTCCCTGGCATAGACTAGGAAATTCATTCATCCAGGACTGCATCTATTAATTGAAACAAGTCAATTGGTATCCCATTGATTCTTGGGGCCTTATTTTTTTACCAATGTCTTCAATATAGCTTCAACTTTCTCCTTCATTACCATTGACTGCTGTTCATATAGCACTTTTTGAAATTTTTTAGCATCAGTTCTTTTTAGTACAGTGAGACTGTGTTATTCCCTTCATTTTCTTTTGGTACTTCCTGTGTCATTCAAGATATTGAATATCCAAGATATTCAATATCATGACTTGAGACTTAAATTTGTTTTTCAGTTCTCTCAGCTTGAAAAATGTAGTTAGTTGGGATCTATAATACATGGAACAATTATATCAGATTATAAAATAAAGGATAAATACATAATACTAAGAATCATGGCCTAATCAAATTGACAGAAAATTTTCATATATTTTGTGGTAATATAATTCAGTCTTTAATAATGTTGCTACTATTTAATTTCTATCACACCCTTCCAACTTTAAAATCATGCTAACAAAAAAGAAGTCTGGTTTATATTTTTATAGAAAAGGTATTATTTTAAGTGTATTTTTTAAAGATGATAAAATATTAAATTACAGACACCACTATTATCCTTTCTACAACTCTTGAATGAACATAGTCTTCTGTACATAACTTGCATTTCTTTATCTCTTAAACTAATACTGTTGGTAATCAGGTTTATGTTTGTCATATTTTCTCTTAGCTAGTAATCAATTCCTGAATGATTGTAAATGAAAGTTGAAATATAGGTAATGTACCAGATTTTTTAAAAAATTGCTATTTATAAATTCCCTATTGTGAAAGACTAGCAGTTATGTATGGAAATAGTTTAAAACACTGTAATATTTTATGTTATACAAGCTTCATTAGCAGAGGACAGAAAAATGTCTATAATATAGCACAAGTATTGTGAACTTTTTTGTAAAAAATATTCAATCTTTGTAGCAACACTTAGCATGACATGATTAACTTATACATATGCTTACAATTTTTAAAATTAAATTGTGACATAGCTGGTCAAATGGCATTATTTTGACAAATTTTAAATTTCATTAAAAATAACATGAAGAAAACACATGAAGCTAGAATAACTTCAGTTCTAATTCACTGGTTTTCTGGAAATTTCAGTTTTGAAATAATAATTTTATTTGTGAAGAAGTTATAGCAAAAAAGATTATTCTAAAAAGATAACTGAAATATTTGTTATGACTTCCTTTTATTTCAAGTTTTAAGATTAAGGTCCCTTTATCCACAGAATATTCCAGATTCCTGCCACTTAAAGTGACTGAATTAACATCAACTGGGAATTTATCAGAAATGTAGATTCTGGGGCACACTAGGTCATCATCAGTTTTGAAGAAAAGCTTCAGACCATTCATATGCACATTAAAGTCTGAGAGAGTCTAGACAGTGGTCAAATATTTACTTACCTTCTTTAGTATTTTTTTGTTCACTGTTGAGGAAAGTTGCAAATTTACAAAAAGGTGTAAATATACTTAGAAAATGATAAGGTGTTTTTCTCAAAAGTGTATAAGAGGTGAAGATATGAGAAAGAGGAAAAACTAACTGGAAGAAGTTGTGAAGAAATCTGTTCTTTTCAGCAAGTACTACGTGCTACTTT